AGGAATGCCAGAGATTACAGTTGTTGTTCACTTGCTTTTGCTATTGTATAAAGGCTGAAGGGTGAACTGGGACACTGTGTGTGTGTGTGTGTGTGTGCACATAGGTGGTTGCTGTATAAAAGAAAAAAATTAGGTCAATGAGAGTCCCTGTGCATGGACCAGACCCTCTAAACAGGCACTAACAAAGGAGAAATTGCTATTGCTTTGTCCTCCTGCAGTTAGGAAAATGAGGCATGAACATGTCACTGATTTTCTCCAAGTCACATTGCTGAGATAGTGCCCCAAGCACTGGGCAGTCTGCCTTTCTAAAGCCAAGCCCTGCAGAATATAGTGCCAGCTCTTTGGAGGGAGCAGTTCAGTCATTGTACTTGTCCTCTTGCAGGTACGTCTGGCCCAGCTGGCACGGGAAGATGCAGAGAGAGAAGTAAAGGAGAAAGAGGAAGCACGTCGGAAGAAAGAGCTCTTAGAAAAAATGGAGAGAGCTCGTAATGAGCCCGTGAATGACTCGGACATGGTGGACAAAATGTTTGGATTCCTGGGGACCACCTCCTCCCTGCCTGGCCAGGAAGGACAAGCACCCAATGGCTTTGAGGTACTGGAGACATATATGAATGGCTATCAAGTGAAAGGCTTTAGCAACATGGTAATGAATCAGAGGAAGGTGGAACAGTCCAAAAGGGTGTCTCTGAAGGGTTCCTTCAAGACCAGGCTCTTCTGCATGGCTCCAGAGGGTCAAGGTGCTGTGTTTGGGGACAGACATGCAGTCTGCAGGCTTTCTTTGGGGCTACTGCATGGAGGAGAGCAGTAACACTATAAGGTCATTGAGGATGTGTGGCCTTTGAGGTCTTCTCCCTTGTGGTTCATCATGGCTCACAGCATTTAGTTCTTGAACACCCATTTGCCATGCTAGGAGTGGGGCCATGCTTGATGCTTCTGCTTGCTTTGCATGGGCTCTAGAGTTATTTTTCATGGTTTTCCAGTTGGCTTTTCCTTTGGGAATGGAAATCAAACAGACAGAAAAGTCAGGGCCAAGGGGAAAGGGTAGTTCAGTATCCAAAGCCACGCTTGACATGTCCTTCCCCACTAGGATCTTGAGCGAGCCCAGAAGGAGCTGGAGGAAGAGGACCTTGATGCAGCATTACCTCTCCCTGAGGAAGAGGAGGAAGACCTCTCAGAGTACAAATTTGCCAAATTTGCCGCCACGTATTTCCAGGGCACAACAACACACACCTACATCCGCCGTCCTCTCAAGCAGCCTCTATTGTACCATGAAGATGAAGGAGACCAGTTGGTGAGGCAGGGGATGAAAACCCTCGAGCAGGGCAGGGTGGGTTGGAGCAAACCTGGGGATCCCTTCACCAAAAGGGCACCAGCAGTTTCCCTTTGGGATACACTGATGTGCTCGTGGCTTGGTGGAGAGCACAGCCCTCATCTACTGCACATGTGTTGGTAGACATTGTTCCACCAGCATGCTTTGAGCACTGACAAGATGAATGTTAGAGGGACGTAGTGGTGAGTCCATCTCTGTACCTTGATATTTGTGTTAGGACAATTAATTAAGTGCTCTGGGCTCAAGGCATGGACGATGCAAATTGTGGAGTGAGGTTGGCATCTCCTAGCCAAGAAGCAAACCTCTTGTAGGATGCATAAACGCACTCATGGCATGAGTGGCATGAACACAGAACCACCAGCCTGCCCAGCTTGGTCAGATAGGATGTGTGCTGCAGGCAAAACTGTTATCAGTGACACAGGAGAGTGTTTTACCTCCTGCAGATGTACTGGGAGATCACAGTGGTGATCCTGATGGGTTCAGCATGTCTCGACCATCCCCTCTGCTGCCCTGGTGTGAGCTCATGGAGTGTAACTTTCCTTTCAAATAGGCAGCACTTGCTGTATGGATCACTATCCTCCGTTTCATGGGAGACCTCCCTGAGCCGAAATATCACACAGCCATGAGTGATGGTGGTGAGAAGATACCAGTGATGACAAAAATCTATGAGACTCTTGGGAAGAAGACCTATAAGAAAGAACTGCAGGCTCTGCAGGGAGAAGGAGAGGTAACTACTGTAACTGTAAAAGAGATACTGTTATTAGGTGTTGGATTTTGAAATGTGTTGGAAAGAAACTATTTGTGGGGTTCCAGTTTGTCGATTTTATTTGCATTTATGCTACGAAGAGAGAATTGCCCGTGTTTCAGGTGTTGATCCTGACCCTTCTTCTTCACAGGGATAACCGAATGTCCCCCAGCAATACAGTAAGGAAGGAGCCCTGATGTCTCTCATGGGGCTTTGATATCTCTCCTCCTCCTTGTAGGGCAGAAATTCGAGGGAGGAGCGCAATATCCTGTGTCATTGGTCTTTCATTTGGGGATTTCTTTTTCATAGCATCACAGAATGTTGTGAGTTGGAAGGGACCCACAAGGATCATCAGTCGAGCCCCTGTCCCTGCACAGGACAATCCCAAGATTCAGACCATGTCCCTGAGGGCCTTGGCCAAATGCTTCTGGAATCTTGTCAGGCTCGGGTCCATGAGCGCCTCCCTGGGGAGCCTGTTCCAGTGCTCCACCACCCTCTGCCTCAAGAACCTTTGATCTGCTGTGGGTCAGAAGAGACTAAATTAAACATGTGCCCTTAATCTTGGACCAGGAAGTAAAGAATCACCAGGGGATTGAGCTGTGGAAATAAAACCCAAAAAAAAATCCCTAGTGCATTCTCAGTGCATTCTGGGATGTCACTGGGGGACTTGGGACTCCTCCCAGATAAAACATTGTCCTGGATAAATCACTGTCCATAGCACTGACATGCTTTCATCTTTGGCAATTGTTTTATTCAATAGAACAAGATATTACCTGGTATTGGGATGGGATTTTCTAGATGGAAGTGTTGCATTTTCAGTAAGTTTTCTGCAGTATCATCTGGATGAGCCTCTGTGCATTTGCAGATATAAATTAATAGATCTCCCAAGTTTTTAGAGATGGTGATAGCATTCAGTGAATTACCTGAGAAGGAGAGTAGCTTCATCTGGGTTGTAATTCTCTAAAAATATACACCAAGAATCACCTTTCATTCTTTCTACCTATCATTTCTTCCTTGTTTATTACAAAAAAAGGAGTATTTTGGCCAATTAACACATCAGGTAGTATGGAAGAGAAGGAAAATTTAAGCTGTCATTTTTGTCTGTTGTTACATCTGCTCTGCAGAGTGCACAACAGTGCAGAGAGATGTCTGAGCTGCCCCTGAGCATGAAGATGTACAAATCCAGGTTTACAGTATGAACTCAGCCTTTTAATGGCTATAAACCATCACAACTGCAGGACTCAGAGTGCTGATCTGGTGTAAAATACGTCTTTTCAAAACTGTTTAAATGGGGAGATGTTAACTGGGTCAAAAAGTGAAGTTGTTACCCATGTCATTTTAATCCCACAGCTGGCACAAAGTTGGTACAGAAGTAGAAAGCCAACAGTAACTTGATGATATGTAGTCAGTGCCTGGATCTGTCCCACATCAAATTTATTCTTCTGGGAAATTTGACACAGCACAGAGCTGGTTAACAATGATGAAACCACAATGGGTAACTACCTGTCCATGAATCCCTGGCTAGATGACTTCCAGCTCACAAACTTGCAGTGCTAATGGCTCATCTCAGAAAGTGGCCTTGCTTATCTCATTAGTGATGTAGGAACTAGTCTGAATGGGATACAGCAAAACTGGGTGGACATAAGATGAAATCAACCACTTGTTACCTAAGAATAGAATAGAATCATAGAATGGTTTGGGTTGGAAGGGACCTTAAAGCTCATCCAGTTCCAACCCCCCTGCCAGCAGCAGGGACACCTTCCACTAGACCAGGTTGCTCAAAGCCTCATCCAACCTGGCCTTCAACACTTTCAGGGAGGGGGCATCCACAACTTCCTTGGGCAACCTGTTCCAGTGTCTGACCACCCTCACAGTGAAGAACTTCTTCCTAATATCTAATCTAAACCTCCCCTCTTTCAGCTTAAACCCATTTCCCCTTGTTTTGTCATTAACTGCCCTTATGAATAGAATAGAATAGAATAGAATAGAATAGAATAGAATAGAATAGAATAGAATAGAATAGAATAGAATAGAATAGAATAGAATAGAATAGAATAGAATAGAATAGAATAGAATAGAATAGAATAGAATAGAATAGAATAGAATAGAATAGAATAGAATAGAATAGAATAGAATAGAATAGAATAGAATAGAATAGAATAGAATAGAATAGAATAGAATAGAATAGAATAGAATAGAATAGAATAGAATAGAATAGAATAGAATAGAATAGAATAGAATAGAATAGAATAGAATAGAATAGAATAGAATAGAATAGAATAGAATAGAATAGAATAGAATAGAATAGAATAGAATAGAATAGAATAGAATAGAATAGAATAGAATAGAATAGAATAGAATAGAATAGAATAGAATAGAATAGAATAGAATAGAATAGAATAGAATAGAATAGAATAGAATAGAATAGAATAGAATAGAATAGAATAGAATAGAATAGAATAGAATAGAATAGAATAGAATAGAATAGAATAGAATAGAATAGAATGCCTCATTTGGAACAAACCTACAATGATCATCTAGTCCAACTGCCTGACCACTTCAGGGCTGTCCAAAAGTTAAAACAAGTTATTCGGGGAATTATTCAATGTAATTTTTTTACAGATGTCCCCACTATGTAATTTTGATCTGGGGGAGGATCATTGCTTAGAGAGTATCTACAAAATTCAGAGCCTGACCTGGTTTATCAGGGGCATGGAAATATGGGTCCACACTTCTGGTTCCTACCAGCCTCTGAAGATCTCACTCTGTGCCCAGGATTAGTGGTCATTTGTAGGAGACCAGGGGAAGCAGAGAGAACATATACTCGGCAGATCTCTGTGTCTGACCACATCTCTTGCATCCACATCTCTTGCTTTGCAGAGTACTCACATTGATGGGCACAAGAAGAACAGTGTGCGGCACAAACTGGTCTCCTTAACACTCAAGAAGAAATCCAAACTGACGGAGGAGGTGAGAGGAGACGCTTGGCCGCCTGGCAGCACAAGTGCCGTTGGATTGTCTGCAGCCCTCTCTGACTCTCTTCTGCTTTTCCCTAGACAACATAGAACCAGCCCTCCTCTGGGTTTGGCGCTACCTGTCTCTCTGCCTGAAAGATTTAAGGAGTGTTTAAGGGGAAAGGTTGGCTTCCCGTGTCTCCTTGAGTCATTCTGCACCTCGCGCTGGCCTTCCCTCGGCTCCCGTTCTCCATCCATCCAGCACCTTCCCTCCCCTCTTTCACAGCCCTCCATCCAGCTGCCGATACCTCCCATCACTCTGTGATGGTCTGAATGTGATCCCTGCTTTTAGTTTCCTACCCTCCACTGTGGTGTAGGTAGCAGAGGTGGGGATCTCCAAAAGCGCTCACCCATCCTCTGCTCCTCTCCAGCACCAGGGGAAAAACTCCCCACAGGAGCAGCTAGCCCAAGCTGAGAGCTTTTGAAAATCCCATCCTAAAAGAGTGAGGAGCAATAAATCTTTTGGGTGGGGGAGGGATGAAAGCAATGCAAAGACATGGATTCAGTCTTCTTTTACACACTGCTGTGTCCACTTCCAGAGTAGGCATCATCTCACCTGGCTATAGCTGCTTGAGAGCACGAAGATTGCTCTCTGAGATAGTCACCCTCCTTCCCTTTATGGTCAGTGGGGAGAAATAGGACCCAATCCTGCTTACCCTAATGTGGCTCTGAAGACACTCTAGAAGCGACCATCTTTCTCCAGTGGCTCTAAATGGAGATGGGGTTGACTAGCTGAGACAGAGAGCTGGTAGGTGGACAAATGCCATCCCTGTTTTCACAAACAGCACCATGCTTATGTGCTTCTGGCTGCATCATTGGCATGGGGAGTGGGTCCATTCTGTCAGTGTTTTAATGTATTTTTTAATATGACTGAGTTAAAGGGACTTGTCTTCCTTGGCAATAAGCTGGGGTTATTCCAAAGATCCTTGGTGACCCTCTCCCAGCTGTGGGACCAGCTCAGAGCTGGGATGCAAGGGTGCTGTTTTAGAAATCCAGGGCAAAGACCAAGCAGGTGGGAGTGTAACTAGACAGGACCATTTTCAGTTACACCCGTATGTGATTAAAGGCAACAAAGTCACACCCTCCCATAGCTGATAAAGTGCTAGATTGAAGAACTTCTGAGACCCCCCCTGGCTGGTGGAGGAGGGCTCCTGGGGGAGCACCACACATTTGGGAAGGGGGTGGGGGGTGGGATGTAGTAACTGGCTGTACTGAAAGAGAGCAATGTGTCTGGTTGGCAGGTGACAAAGAGACTTCACGATGGTGAGTCCACGCTCCAGGGTAATAGCATGCTCGAAGACCGACCCACCTCCAACCTGGAGAAGCTCCATTTCATTATTGGTAATGGCATCCTCAGGCCAGCCTTAAGGTTAGAAATCAAGACAAAGGCATGGACATGGCATTCTTTTCATTCCTTCTTCCCTGAGCTATTCTTCAGCTATTAAAATCGTTTTGCTACTCTGTGCTGCTTTACGAAGCTCTCATTATATCATTTTTCTGGTTGTGTTGTATAAAATGGGCTGAGCTGTGTCATGTTCCTTACTGTCCATATCAGGCCTGATGGAAAGACCATGTAGAGGGACTCAAATGCTTTTTAAAGTGCTAGTGGCTACTGGATTGGGTTTTTAATGCTCAATCTTCTTGTTCACTACCTTTTTTTTTTTTTTCTATTTGATCATTTAGATATCTTTTGTTGATGAGAACATTTTTAATGGTACACTAATGAAAAAAACCAAACTCATTCTGGTTGTTAATTAAGCATTCAAAAATTTGAAAGTGCCAAATTAAGGTGAACTGCACATCTCTGGTTTAGCCCATTTGTGTGTGTGTGTTATAATCCAGTCCTTGTTTATGTAGTCTCACACTCTTCACTCACACCTTGCTTGCTCCAAGAACGGGGTGGGCTTCCTCATCTGATGACCAGCTTCTCTAATTTTCATTCTATCCTCTCAGTTCACCATGAAACCCTTAACCTTACTTTTCTGCACAGTCTGCTCTAAAGGAAGACCTGGTAGCGCCCCATGGGGTTTGTCCATGTAACAGGTTGGCTAACATTTTTGTTGCCTCCCATGTAGGTCCTCTCAGTTCACCATGAAACCCTTAGCCTTACTTTTCTGCACAAAGTCTGCTCTAAAGGAAGACCTGGTAGCCCCCCATGGGGTTTGTCCATGTAACAGTTGGCTAACATTTTTGTTGCCTCCCATGTAGTTGGGGAAGTACTATTATCCCTCATTTTGCATGTAGAGAACTAAGGTTAAAGTCAAAAGTGGATATTAAATCCCAAAGTGAGATACCTGACAACGTATGTGCCTGTTTGGATGTAAAAGCTGGACAAACTTTGACCTCCACTGGAGCTGATAGTTCCCAACACTTCCACAAAGCAAATTGAGGTGGCTCAAGGGGAATAGCCAGCAAATGAAGACTCCCAGCTGATAGCCCTCTATGAAATTTAGTTTAGGAGACTCTCTTGGTATTACTGGGAAATCTTTGTAGGAATCCAGAATAGACTCCATCATTCAGAGGTGACGTTGAGCTTCCTTGAACCTTGAGACTCCCTTTTATTTCCCTCCTTCTCTACGCAGTGTCAGTCAGCTGTGGGAAATCTCAGCTGAAGCACAGGAAAGACTCACGGGCATTACAGGACTGGTGGTGGGTGGTATTTTAGAGACACTGCAGAGTGACCATCATTAGGGCAGTTAAATTAATATCCTTGTGATGTTAAAATGAACTTTTTACTATCAATCACATGCAGACAGGGTCTTCCTCTCTCTGCTCATGTTGAAAACCACAGCTCGTTAACTCTAGTGGGTTTTTTTCATTCCTATTGCAGGGATGAAATCTATTGTCAAATCTGCAAGCAGCTGACCCAGAACCCATCCAAAAGCAGCCACGCCAGGGGCTGGATCCTGATGTCCCTCTGCGTGGGATGTTTTGCTCCTTCTGAGAAGTTTGTGAAGGTAAACTGTAGATGACATTTGTCTCATGAATTGTCTGCCAATACATTTTCTTCTCTATCCAAGGGACCAGCTCATCTCTTAAGTTCCACAGTAGAAGGAACTCTGGTCTTTATCTTTGCCAGGAATTAAAATGACAAAGTTCCTAAGAAAACTGTGCATGATCCTAAGTTCAATGTCTAAAGTGGATCAGATGAGTCACTCCTAAGAAGTGACTCTCTCTTCCCTGTGACTCTAAAGGGAGCTTAGATAACCAGTTCAGATGATGTCTCCTGCATTGCAGACGTGTGAAGAGGTGATTAAGTGACTTCTGGAAGGGAAGTTGCTTGTGGCAGTCTGCAAGTGGAATTTACACTCCCAGAATAGCCCACATGTCTCCCCTATTTCTCACATGCAAAGGTATATACGTTCATTCAAGCATCTGCTAGCTTTGACAGTATAGCCTCAGGCATGTGCTCTAACAAAATTGGCAAGGAATAGTACTGCACAGCTAATTATAAATATAACTTAATATAAAAAATTGCACATAGAACAGGAAGGGTTTAGTTTACCTGGAATTATGTTTGCACAGTTGCTCTCTGTGTGCTAGAACGTGCCCCACCATGTGTCATACTGAAAATGTCCAACTGTAAACAGCCACGAGAGATGACATAACAGCCACATAAGAGATGACATGTAAGGTACCTTCAGAAGCACGGTGGCTCAGCAGGACTGAAGTCAGTGGGAGATGCTAAGTGGCTGAAACTTTTGAAAATCAGGTTGTTCTTAAGGATTTTCTTTTTTTCTGGACAAAAAGATTGTCAAGATTCAAACAGCCTGCTTTCCAAATGAGTACACACCTAGAGTCTGACCAACACCCACTGGACTGGTCAAGTTAATCCCATACCTAAGAGTTAGGCTGGCTCAGGCCAAAGGGTTCAGCACTGTGTCTTTGCTTTGCCATGATATAAGACCTCCTTTGTCACTCTCAGATCTTTGAATGTTGGAGCCTGGACTTGCTGGAGATAAAGATGTTCCATAAATTTCCACAAATATCAGATCAGGTACTGGGTCCTCAGCACTGAAAGAGCTAAAGCCAAGAATAGAAATCCCTTCTTCATCCCCAGGCCTTGTCAGTATGAAATCTAATAAAGCAAGTAAATCACTGGCAAAGTGGCAGAAAATTAAATTACATCTGGAAATGAGATCTGAGGAAGTATGCCACAGGAGGTTGTGTGGTTTTAAATCTTTAATAGTGGAAGATTATTTTAGGTGAGTGAAATTCTTCTCAGAAATAATTCATGGGTAGCTCTGGAGACTCAGACATAGAATCATAGAATACTTTGGGTTGGCAGAGACCTTTCAAGGTCATCTAGTCCAACCCCCCTGCCATGGGCAGGGACACCTTCCACTAGATCAGGTTGCTCAGAGCCCCATCCAACCTGACTTTGAATGTTTCCAGGGATGGGGCATCTACCACCTCTCTGGGCAACCTGTGCCAGTGTTCCACATGTACCTCTGCCCAAAGTTGTGGTCCATGCTGAAATATGAGGCAGTATTTCCAACAACTTTGGAGAGGGTTTATACTAATCCTGCCTTTATTCATCAACCTTGTGCACCCTGGGCTGTTGGAGATGATAGGCAGCCTGTGGTGACTGAAGCTCCTTGAGTATGAGAGCAAACAACACTTCAGCAACCCACACTGTGGTTCCCTTTCAAGGCCTCAATCTTGCAAACAGCAACACACAGGCAGTGATTTGGGCAATGTCTCAGAGGTCCTCTGAAGCTGCTGTAGGTATCCATTTAGACTTCATTGACACCTTCCAGCTTAAAATGTTATGTTTTGAGATAGAATCATAGAATGGTTTGGGTTGAAAGGGACCTTAAAGATCATCCAGTTCCAACCCCCCTGCCAGCAGCAGGGACACCTTCCGCTACACCAGGTTGCTCAAAGCCTCATCCAGCCTGGCCTTCAACACTTTCAGGGAGGGGGCATCCACAACTTCCTTGGGCAACCTGTTCCAGTGTCTGACCACTCTCATTTTGAGATAGAATCATAGAATGGTTTGGGTCGAAAGGGACCTTAAAGATCATCCAGTTCCAACCCCCCTGCCAGCAGCAGGGACACCTTCCACTACACCAGGTTGCTCAAAGCCTCATCCAGCCTGGCCTTCAACACTTTCAGGGAGGGGGCATCCACAACTTCCTTGGGCAACCTGTTCCAGTGTCTGACCACTCTCACAGTGAAGAACTTCTTCCTAATATCTCATCTAAACCTCCCCTCTTTCAGCTTAAACCCATTTCCCCTTGTTTTGTCATTAACTGCCCTTATGAAAAGTCCTTCCCCATAAAGTATTCTCATGATGAAATGTTACCTCTGCCCCTGAACCACATACTTTCCCATCCAGACTCATTTTTTTTCTTTTGTGAAAAGCAGAGGAATATTCAGTGTTTGTTGAGGTTCAGTGAACTCTTCTGTTTCAAAGCTACATTAACCCAGACCACATAGTCCAGTCTGTTCTGGGTTGGGAGACAAACTCCATGTCAATGCCAGACCTTACTCCCAGTCTCTTAATCTATTAGTATCATGTTTTCAGGAGTTAGTAGTCAACCAAAATCTGATTTAGTATGAGTTCACTTACTACTGCTTTAACCACACAATAGCTACCATTGAATGTATGTTAGTCATGCATTGGTTAGCAGCCAGTTAGCTAGATGACAGTTTGTCAGCCTCACATCTTTTTCAGTTGGTGTCCTAACTTCTCATTTAGCAGTAATTATCCACCATTTTCATAGAAGAAGAAGTATATAAAGGTAAATATCTCTTAGCATTTCTTTCCTGTACTCTTCTAAGTAGGGAATGTTGCAACAGACTCCTGGTTACTTCTGAAACTTCTAGACTCTATGAACAACAAGATTATGGAAAAAAAGATGAGAAATTTCAGGAAAATATTGTGCCTGGAAGTTGTTCCACAACCTTCAGAAGCGTCAATTAGGAGTGAACATTTTGAGAAGGATTTAGCTGATAATGAGGCAGCCTTTTGTGTGTTTTCCTACTCCCAAATATAAAGGTCACACACTGGATCCCATTAGACACCTCTATCACATTATATGCTAAGCACGGGTCAAGACACATTAGCACTCCTGTTCTCTGTGCTGTTCTTTCAACTAATAATGGACTTTGGTGGGAAGGTTCAGTCACAAGGAAGGAGAAATATAAAAAAATTTGTAATTGCATAGTTCATTATGAGCAGCCTAATTAAAACTACACTTTTACACAGCACCAGCTGCTCCCACTCATTTGCAACAGCTTCCATCCATATAACCTGGCTGGATTACCTAGTTATTTCAGAGTATCTCTAGAAGTTATGATTGACAGAGATATCTGTCTCTCTACCTGTGTTATTTATGGACTGACAGTGTTATATAGCAGTTACTGAAGGAACAGCTATGTCTTATCATTCCAATAACTCTTTATCTATAAGTTTTTTCTGAAAAAATATGATTTACACAACTATTAGTCTCAGCTACCTTTTTGGCCAAGATATTTGTGTAATATTTTAAAGTGTATTATCTTTCATATTGTGGAAGTCACTGGATTTAATTTTCTCGACAATAATATGGTTGTATTTTTAACATTCTGGTTTAGGATCTTCGAAAATGCAATTTAAGATCTGACTAAAGAAACATCTGTTTAATGTAATTGTACTGACAGCTAAGTGTTCTGAGTGGCATTTGCTTACAATTCCCCTGAATCATTACTTAGACATCTTTTTCATTCGCTCCCATCTTTTTGGCCAACACTCAATAACATTTTATAATACATCTTTAAAATACAGAGATAGAAATCAGTGGCAGCAGTAGCAGGAATAGAAAAGCTGTTGCATTGGCTTTGATCAAATATCTTTCCAGGCTGGTATCTTATCTCTACCGAGGCCAGATATGCACAGCAAGGGTGCAGACTACCTACTCCAGCAATGTAGTGTAGGAACATCTTGAGTGGTATCATTGCTGTGGGCAGTCCCAGAGGGCTTTTCTGTAATAAAACATTGCTTTTTAACCTTTGCAAATGCTTGGCCTCTAGAGCCAATGGTCTAACCAATGTGTTCCTTGCTGCCAACAGTATTTAAGGAACTTTATCAATGGAGGCCCACCAGGTTATGCTCCCTATTGCGAAGAGAGGCTGAGGAGGACGTTTGCCAATGGGACAAGGACACAACCACCCAGCTGGCTGGAGCTGCAGGTATGAGCCCCTCCATCATACTAGAAAGAAGTTCTGCAGAGAAGGACCCGGGAGTCCTGGTGGACAGCAAGCTAACCATGAGCCAGCAATGTGCCCTCATGGCCAAGAAGGCCAGTGGTATCCTGGGGGCATTCAGAATAGAGTGGCCAGCAGGTTGAGGGAAGTTCTCCCTTTCTACTGTGCCCTGGTGAGGCCACATCTGGAGTGCTGTGTCCAGTTCTGGGCTCCTCAGTTCAAGAAAGATCAGGAACTTCTGGAGAGAGTCCAGTGGAGGCTACAAAGATGATGAGGGGACCAGAGCATCCCTCTGACAAGGAAAGGCTGAGAGACCTGAGTCTGTTTAGCCTGGAGAAGAGCAGACTGAGAGGGGATCTTATCAATGCTGATCAATACTTAAAGGGCGGGTGTCAAGAGGATGGGGCCAGACTCTTTTCAGTGGTGCTCAGTAACAGGACAAGGGCCAACGGGCACACAGGAAGTTCCATCTGAAGATGAGGAAAACCTTTTTTACTCTGAAGGTGGCAGAGCAGTGAAGCAGGCTGCCCAGAGAGATTGTGGAGTCTCCTTCTCTGGAGAGATTAAAAACCCACCTGGACGTGATCCTGTGCAACCTGCTCTAGGTGAACCTACTTTAGCAGGGAGGTTGGACTAGATGATCTCCTGAGGTCCCTTCCAATTCCAACCATTCTGTGATTCTGTGATCCCCTTGCCAGGCAGCTGGGGCTCAGGGTTTAAGCCCTTCACTATCACAGAAACCACATCTCTGGTAGGACAGAAAACAGGGCAACAAAATGAGTATTTCTCTGAAGAATTTTCAGGTATTTCCAAGATACTGAATTCCCTGTGCATCCTGGCTTTGCTCCAGAGTATGCTGAAGATCAATTCCTTTGGTTACATCAATATTTATAAATTAGATGTGCTCAAGAGTGCTTTCAGGCACTGAGGCCATCTGGCATGGAGCAAGCCCCCATAGAAGCTAGGAAGCTGTCTTCCAGGTGAAGGTGGCTGCAGGCAAACTGCCTACTGAGGATGGTCCCTGGGACTTGTTTGGGGATGTCGTAGCTGGAACAGACATCGTTTGTGCAATAATTGCTCATTTTCTATACTGGTTTACAAATTCAAGCATGCTTGAATTTACTGGATTAGGCACTTTGGTGACTGAATGTAATAAAGAAAAAATCTGGGACTTCCAAGTGCTTCCAGTCTCTGAGCACACATTATCCTGTTGAGAAGTATGTGATGGTAGAATTGAAAAGCAGCCAGTCAGTGGAATCAGGAATTAGAAAATGTTCACCACAGTTGGGTGGAAGAGTATGTAGGTAAATAGTCCCGATGGGATTGAGATACACATGCCTTTATAAAGTCTGACTTTAATCCATTAGGCAACCAAGTCCAAGAAACCGATCATGCTGCCTGTCACATTTATGGATGGGACAACAAAAACGCTGTTGACCGACTCTGCAACAACTGCTAAAGAGCTCTGTAATTCTTTGGCCGACAAAATCAGCCTGAAGGATCGATTTGGCTTTTCTCTTTACATTGCACTTTTTGACAAGGTATGTGTTAAATTACGTTCCTGACTAGCTCTGTGAAAGAAGAGGAAGGTTCTCCTTGTTGTCACATATCTTCTAGAAACCAGAAGGACCCTGTGCTTTGAGCAAATGACCAACCTTGAGATCAGGAATGGACATTTCTACAGTGCAAATGTCAGCATGATTTTCACAATAAGAGTAGTCAAATGTTGGAGCAGGGTTGTAGAGACACTGTGAAATCTCCTGCCTTTGAGATATTCAGAATTTAACAGGAGAAGGCATGGAGAAACCTGATCAAACAT